TCATTAGAAGAATTGAACACATGTGTGATGCGGTTGTCGAAGTTGAATCATTTGCAGGTATATATTCAAATGATTTTATAATCGTTTCCCTCCTCCCTCCCTTTTTATTGTTAAAATTAATCCAAAATTTCTGCTAGGATCCCCTGCAACTACTAATGCAATCAATTTACAGTGCCACATATCATGGATTATTCCACGTTCATAAATTACCAACACTTAATTCGCTCATACCATCCATCATCTACAAAATTATCAGTATTATCAGGTGGTAGTGGAAATAATCTAGGATTTAAATTACGTCGTAAAAAATTTACTATTGAAACTTTTCATCTACCGCCTGAAGGTGGTATTAATGAAAGACGTGTTGGTCCCGAAACGAATAAGTCTGTGAAGAAGAAGGAGGAGGATGATAAAAATAAACCGGGTATTGGTAGTATCCATATGATTTCTAATTCAAAAGAATTATTTTATATTCGATTAATTTAGTAATACGGGTATAACTTAGACATTACAATCATTTTATAAAAAAAAAAAGGATTAAATAAATTAATAATGAAACATTATTGTTTTTCTTTATATAAAGAACTGACTGAATAAATAATAAATTTACATTTATGAAAATAATTAAAAATTTGTAAATATAGATAACATTGTATATATGTAATATCAATTCAGAATTTTTTTTTTAAAAAAATATAATTAATTCAAAACTATTGAAATAAGAGAAAGAAATTATTCGCCATCTGCAAAAATTTTCCGTTCGTTACCTAATAATTTAAAATTAAAAAAAAAGGATTAGATAAATCTAAGCAAGCCATTAAATAGATAAATAAACAAAAAAGAGAAGGACGTTCTCGCTAAAGCGAGGCCACGAAGCGCTTCCAGTTCTCCTTCCATTTATTCACCTAAATAATGGGCAATTATAATAGAAAAACATTTGACCATAAAAGTAGAACTATTTCCTTAAACGCTGCCGATTAAAGTAGATAAACATTGACAATACAAATAGAGAAGGACGTTCTCGCA